GCTCTCATAAGCTTAAGCAAACGTACATCAAGAGGAATTTTTACTTCTCTACAATCTTTAAACCAAGGATGGCCTGCATGTACATACTCGAGTTGATAAGTAGGAATCAAAAGGAAAAAAGAACTTCAAAGCTCAGAAGTACTCACTTAGAGCTTGAGCAGCACTCATTCTTTTCTCTGGGTCTTTATTCAAAAGGCGCTTAACAACATCTTTAGATTCAGGAGACAAAGATGGCCAAGGTGGATCCTCGAAATTTGGATCAACCTTCAAAACAGACTTGAAAATGCCAGACTCGGTCCTTGCCCAGAATGGACGGCTGCCACACAGCAGAATATATGCAATCACACCAATACTCCACATGTCAGCCTCCGTGCCATAAGATCTACGTAGGACTTCAGGAGCTACATAATAAGCACTGCCAACAATGTCGTTCAGCCTCTCATCTGCAAATGAATCACAACATCACAATCATACAAAAATTCAAGAATCATTACAGGAAATTTCGACTATTTGGGGAAAGCAAACAAACAAACCTGGTTTTACAAAATCTGATAAGCCAAAATCTATGGCCTTCAATTGTGAACTTTCATCCTTCCACGCATATAAAAAGTTCTGAACCAGCAAGCAGCTATATTAGGTAACAACTCCAGACAGATTCAAGGCAAAATTGGTATTTGTTTACCTCAGGCTTAAGATCCCGGTGCACCACCCCTTGGAGGTGGCAAAATGCAGCTACATTGAGGATTTGTATCAATACTGATCTTGCATCATCCTCCGAAAATTTCCCGCCTCTGTGATGATTGAAAATAAAAACATCGTCAACCAGTCAATTTCAAGTCCAATAAAATGCCCAAAATCCATAAAGCATAACGACTCCACAATCGATACCTGGAGAGTATTCTATCCAAGAGCTCTCCTCCTTCACACAATCTGAAAATTTCATACAAAATTACAGTCCCTCAATATAAACTTCGTCAAAAAATAACAGTTCCAGAAATGCATGTTTTTAATATAAACGAAGAGTTTAGAGCTTACTCCATTACTATATAGACATTGTCATGATCTTCACATGCATCATGGAAATGCACTAAGTTTTTGTGTCCACTCAAAGCTTTCAATATCTTCACTTCCCTTCTGACATCCTCAATGGCAATGGCAGTGGTCATCTGACAACAGTTCATGACACAGGATCGGTTAATCAGAAACAAGCAAGTCCAATTCAAAAGGATGCTACCCACTTTCACTGATATACAAGATCAAAATGTTGTATTATATTCTACCTCAAATTAAGATATTAATTGAACATTAACATACTAAATAAGGGGATCGAATGCATCCCAAAGTCCATGGTTTGCCAGCCAAACCAGACTCACAAGACTGAAACAATCGATCTATGAAGTCAACTCTTAAAACACCCAAGCTTTCTATATCATTTGGATCTCTGTGAAAGGATGTTTCTGGTTGTTAGCTATGGTGGAAAGGAGGATATCACAATAATTTTTCCAGATCTCATCAACATAGCCTCAAGAATATCAAGATCAATCAATGATTCATCCTTCTTCCAATAATCATGAATTCATAAAAAGGGTAATATAGTTGTGCAAAGTAGAAGTAAAATTCAATACAAACTGGGGAGAGAGAGCACACCTTGGCTTTAGAGATGACCTTCACAGCGACTTGGTGCCCCTTAAGTTCCCCTTTCTTGACCGTCGCTCTGCATGTGTGCCCAAAATGCCCCTTCCCCACCTCTTCTCCGAGCTCATACTTGTTCCTAAAATGCTTCGAGAATCCAAAGCTCTTGTCAAGACCAGGCCCATCAATCTCCTTCCCCTCTGGAATGGATGCCTCATTCGGCTTCACTGAGCCGTGGCGTCTAGCCAATACAGCCATTAGATGTTTTGCAGGGGACGGCGGCGGAAATGGCTTCCTGAAGAACCGCTTGGGCGTCGAATTGGAGCTCACATTCGCCGGAGATCTCGACGGAGACTTCTTCGAGAAGAGATAGTGAGCGGGACTCGGACTGAAAAGGGGGAAGTAGGGCGACTTCTTGGGAGTTTCCAAGTCGAAATCAATTTTCTCTCCCTCCCTCTCATTGCTGGGGTTTTCGCCATCGACTGTGGCCGGAGGTAGCTGCAACGGCAGCGGACCTTGAACCCCTTGAACTGAACCCCCCTTCGGCGGAACGGCAACGATCTTCATCGACGACGGTTTGGATACACAGATACCCATGATTTACGGCCTAAAACTCCGTAAATCAAACACTGGAATTCGAAGACAGAACGTCAGGTAAGATAATGCACATTAAAAACAAAATTCGCAACTATAATCTTGACTTCCTGGAGAGATAAGAATCTAAAAATGGAAATGGAGCTCTTAATTGTGTGATATGGTGCCAGAGAGATGGGAGATCCAAATCAGAGAGGCCAAACGAGGATGCCCTCCACTTTTAGATTTGAACCCCAATTGAAATAAAGGAACAAACCCACCAAGAAAAAAATAAAATTTAATTAAAGGAAGCTCGGATGAAACATCCAATAACGTGACACTCAATCAATCCATCCATCACCAGCTTAAACTTTCTGGTTTTAAAAGGCAAAGCGGTATTGTATTTTGGTGGCCAAGGAAACGAGTGGTCAAAAAACATACACCATTTTAAAATTTGGGACACTTGGCGAACATCTGGATGGGGATTAATTTAAACATTTAATATTTGGAAAGTTAGTTAATTTACCACTCTGTGTATATTCTTAATATTTGTAATTTTTAATAAATAGTTTCCAGAAAAGGCAGCCGCTGCTCTCCTTCCCTTCCAATGCAGCATCCACTTCCTTCATTTGATTACATTTTAAATTTGTTTTGAAATTATTGAGACTAAATTTCTCATTTTATTTTTTAATTTTGAGTTTGACTTTGACTTTTTAGCATTTTAGTTTGAAATAATTAAGAATTAGAAAGGATTGAAATAATTGGTTTTTTTTTTTTTTTTTTTAGTTTGACAGAGCAAAAGAAATGGCAATTCCTAACAAATACTTGGAATAGGGGAAGTTGGGAAAGACCGAGTAATGGGGTTGACCAAAGCGTTCTCGGGTCCAGCTCATATTTAAAAATAAAAAGAAAATTGGTGGGAAAAATTTAATTATGGGATTAAATAAAATTGATAAAATAATAAATAAATAATATTACAAAAGTCAACCCAACCGACCTAAAGAATAAAAAAAGTTTGATCGGCAATGAGCAAATCTAATTGGGTCATGTGGGCCATCATCATTCTTTCTCATCAACTTCAATTTTATTTATTATTAATTGTATTTGGGACCACTTTTTCAGTTTTTTTTTTTTTTAATATTTATTTTATTTTACATTTGAAAAAAATACATAGACAAATTATGTAACCTGGCAAATAAACTATACATAGCTAGCGACAAATAATTATAGAGTAAATAATATACTAATTTTGTATGTATTAAAATGTACAAAAAATTTTGTATATAAATTGGAAGTGATGATTAGAAGCTTAATTGGTCGTAAACGATCATATTGATAACAACAATAACGCCAACCAACATATAAAACTTGAAATTAAAAAAAAAAAAAAAGTGATTAGTAATTGAGTCATATTAGAAAGTAGTGTTTTTGAAGTCAATCATTTGCTCTAATATAACAGCACTCATAAATTAGGTGAAAAAAGAGAGAATAATGGGATTAAATGAAGAATTAATGTTGCTATGTTTTAAAATAAAAATAAAGAGAGTGTCAAATACAACTTAATCAAGTAGTGATTTCCAAAACTTAAACCTAAATAATTCATAAGATAAGAAATTATTAATCAATTTAACTTCCATTTTGATTACAAACTTATTTTTCTAATAATTTAACTAATGTTTCATATCATACATGAAGATATATTTTTAGTAATATTCTTTTTAATTTTAAAAAACTGTTAAAATGCGTTTTAACTTTTAAAAAACATTCAATAATATATTTACTGTTAAGGTTTATATGAAAAATATTAAAGTTTTGTCAACCGTACTTTTGAAAAGTCAATTAATTAAACAACTCAAACTTGACATACAAGTAATCTTTAAGTTGGAAAGGCAATGGTAAAAACCACCTCTTATACTGAGAATTATTTTAAATTTAACAAATAAATTAATTAATTAACACCTTTGAAAGGTCGAGGGAAATTTTTGAAAATTTTAAAATTTAATAAAAAACAAAACTATTGTATTATTTTTTTTTTTTAAACAAAGATGCTTTTTCCTATAATTTCTGTAATTTACGATTTTACAGATTGCATTTTGAAAGACATGGAATTATAGTATGAGAAAGAAAATGGTTTGGTAACAATGAAATGAAGGTTGAGGAATCAAGTTTGTTGAAGACGGAATTGTTGGAGGATAATGACATACGCTCTTACGAGTGCATGAACCGAACAATGAAGCATATGATGACACAATGAGCGGCTGATGGATTTAAAGCGATGGCCTACCTCTTCCTCAACATCTAATTTTTATATCTCAACTGATTCTCAATCTCATTTTCTACGCAAATGACGATTTTTTTTTTTTTTAAATTAATCGCCATCGACAAAGCCAAAATTAGGAGAAGCCTGGCCGGCAACCACCATTTGGCCCAGAAGAAGCCAACTTTTTGAGAACAGATATGATTACCACTGAAGGAGCAGTTGTGTTGTTCTTCATGGCAGCTTGGTCCGACTGTCGAACCTGCTGATTGTGTAGGCGTCCAAGGGGGCCACTTAGTTGTTGGACTCATCTTCATTTGAACAGCTGCTCTGCAAGTTCCATCGCAGCTTCACGTCCACCAAAATTTCTTAGGACTTGGAATTCAATTTGTGTTCTTCGCTTCTAAATTTCTTAGGATTAGTCTGTGTTAATATTAGTCTGTATTTTGGTTCTTTGCGCTTTTAATTATCTTATTTTCATCTCGAATGTTTACTTCATTAGCAAGAATCATAAATTTGTATCTGCACTTGTACTAAAAACACAAGAATCAGAAATCATGTTGCTGAATGTATCAGACAAAACAAAAGAATTGTCTATTGGAATCAAACAAACGAAATTTGCAAGCAATTGCTGTTGGACCATATGATTCCATTATCAAACCTCTCTGGTATATACAAATTCAAAATTCAGATTGAAGTTGTATAAGGAAGTGGTGATTTGGAATGATCAGTGGATGTCGCCATTACTGAAGCTCTAAAATGGAAAAAACAGCATGCATAATTGTTTCTCAACTTCCACTTCAGGGAAGACTTCCACACCAGAAGCTTTTACATTTCAAAAGAACATATCAGAAGGAGAAAAGAAAACCTACATGAGTAGACAACAATCTATGCCAGAAACTCACCTACTAGGCACACCATCTGAATCTGGCTTCTCGTTCTGAAGCTGATTTTTCACCGATACTTCAGCCACCCCTGCCAACTGCTGGTCGATTGAAGGTACAAGCAAAGCCAGAGGCATGCCTGGCGCAGATACTTTCCTTCGCTATAATACTGCATGGCTCATCTTTTATTGGTTTGATTTACATAGCCGAGCGCATTTGCAGGGGAATGCATACTTTGGACTGAGCGTGGAGGAGACAGTAGTGGAAGGGCCTCAAGGGTAGAACGGGGGGAATAACGAGACATTGCTGTTAAGTCAGAGATTTCATAATGAGATAGTGGGCCAATCACACTGGGAAAGAAGAAAACAATAACGTATGAAACTAGGTCATGCAGAGCATTATAATGAATGCATTAACATTCATGGACTGGAGAGCATGGGAAAAAGCAACTCTTGCCTCTCGGAAGCTAATTTTCCCTTGGGATTTTGTGAGCTTGGAAGCATGGAAAGCTGATCAAATTTACTTGAAAACTGTTCACTTGGGCTATAGCATTTATCCTGGTATCATGAACCACACTGTTACGAAAAATTATAAGTTAAGCCCGGGGCGAGGGAGGGGGGATTGCATCTGTGTTATGTTTACCGTCGAATTTGATCCAGCTACGGCCAGCGAGAAAGATGGAGCTTCTGGATTCTGCAAGTTTTTCATAAACGGATGTTCAAGCAGCATGGCAGCAGTCGGCCTCTCTGCCGGATTTCTCTGAAAGCAGCATTTTAAGAACTCTCTGGCTTCGTAAGATAATGATTCAGGTATTGTTGGGGCATCTCTCATGACCTTAAACATTGCTGCAGCCTGTATTAACAAATGAATTTGTAACCACCAACCAGTCTACCGAACTCATAAAAAATAACTACCAATGATCAATTGAATATGCAATTCACCAATTGGCATGTGTGGAAAAAAATGAAAATTCTATCTTAGTTGATGCAGCTACAAGCACATGCCAAGTTATCCAACACTCACCCCTTCATACTCGCTCCAAGGTGGCTTGCCAGTGAACATTTCTATAATAGTGCACCCAAGGCTCCAAATATCAACAGCCAGGGCAAGATCAGAGTTGTTATCTTTCTGCATCACAGACAGAAGAAGCTGCAGGAAAAAAGACAAATTTCAATCACTTCCATCATTGCTAAATAGCCAATCCAAGTAAATTATTACGTCAGTGATTGCGGTCATTAAGAGAAACAATAAGCCAATAACATGTCTAATGTGGGAACAAGAAGATACCTCAGGAGCCATCCAGTATGGACTTCCCTTTAAAGAGAGATCAGCAACTTGTCCTGTAAGCTGTACAGATATATATCAGCATCATTCATGTCTAATCCTACAAGAATAAACAATTCTCTCTCCAAAGGCAATTCAAATTAACACCATCTGAAGTCATTAATCCTAACAATCATGCAGCAACCAATTTGTAAGAATCATTCAAACAAAGATGACTTTTCTCCGAACTTTGGACTGCTCGACATGATACTAAAGTTGAGAGTGCCTAGACAATAACATTACACAAGCTGAAACAAATTGAAAAAGTATATAGGTTGTGAGCACTAATTAGACCATGTTTGCAGCAATTGACTAGAGCAAACAAATATTATACTTTTCCTCGACTGTTGTCAACATCAAGAATAAAGACACAAATGGGTGAAAAGAAAAGGTTCGACTATCGAAAGTAAAATATAAACCCAAACTCAGAGATCAATGCCATTAATTTATTGAAATTGGCAAAAATACAGAAAGAAGAGGGCTAAGTAACAGATGCTAAAAGGAGGAAATAGTAGAGGGAAATTCGCACTCAATCTCAAACTTACATGTTTAGCCATTCCAAAGTCAGCAAGCTTGACAACCCCACAAGAGTCTACAAGCAAATTAGCACCTTTAATGTCCCTGGATAAATGAAAAATTAAATCCCCAAACAGATATAATCATATAGACATAAAATAAGCTTACACGCAAGTCCGTAATTATTTTCTTTCAAGATTAAGAAGATATTTGAAGATAGAAACTAAAATATTCAAGCATTTCTTTCTTATTTTCAATAGAATTTTTATGGTCATCTTGATTTTACATGTCAACCTGAAGACTTATTATCAAACGCATCAACACAAATGTTCCATACCGATGTATAGTCTTTGTGCTGTGTAAGTAGGCCAGCCCTGAGAGGATGTGACGAGTAAAATTCCGAACAACAGATTCTGTCATGGCTCCACAATGTTCACGGACATATTTATTAATTGAACCAGGATGAACATACTCCAGGTATATATACAATCGATCTTCAACCTAAATAGACCACAGCGTAAGAATTATATTTAGATATAAGATTATAAAAATGAACAACTTTAAAAAGTTGCAACAAGCACGATAGTTACTTACAACATCACTGCCATAGTACTGGACAATATTTGGATGCTTTAGCTGGCTCAGAAGTTTGATCTCCTGTGACAGTTAGAAGAAGAGAGGCAAAGCTAAACAAGATCAAGTTTCATCCTGCCATGAGAGGACAAATGAGAAACTATGGCACTTTAAAATAGTAGAAGATTAACACCACATGGATGAAGATTGCTGACGGCAGTATTTAAAAATAGCATGAGCCAATTTTAAGCCTGCCTCAATGAAGACTAAAGAACAAGTCACAGAAAAACATTTCATCATTTTACATAACAGGTTGTAGCAAGTAGGACGTCAGATAGGCACACCTTCAATCTTACATAACAAACAAGAATTTGTCAGCCAAATGCTTGTCCACTAATATGAAAACTATTGAAGAAGATCATCCTACGATCATATAAGGAAGATCTTTCAGACATGCAAAAAAAAAAAAAGTTTGTGACAAAAAACTAAAAGAGTGTGCAACTGTGCATATGAGAGTTGACATCAGCTCATATGAATATTGAAATTACCTGTTCTAATTGCTTTATACATTCAGCCGATTTCGGATCATCAGGAAATAATTCAACTTCCTTCATTGCACATAAAGATCCATTTTCTCTAGAGGGAGTAAAAATTACACAATCAGTCCGCAAAAGCAAATGACAATAACAGAAAATGTCAACGGAACTCATATTACCTGTTGCTTGCAACGTAAACACTACCAAATGTGCCCCGGCCAATAAGCTTTCCTTTCTGCCATTGATTTTTCTTTGAGATTGCCTCAGTTTTAGTGTTGGCTTGTGTAATTGGTGTTGATTGTAAAGGCATTGAGGTTGATGGTGAAGGCATTGGTACTCCAGGAGGAAGAGGTAAAGGGTGGACACTCACAGGACCAGCAGTTTCTCGATGCACAGAACGTGTTTCAAGGGAAATCTTGGTGTGCAATGGAGATGCAGGTCCTGTAGGACTTCTGGGATCTCGGTGGGGACTTCTACCTCTTGGACTATGCATTCTTGGGCTATGCATTCTTGGGCTATGTGTTGTTGGGCTATGCATTCTTGGGCTATGCATGGGAGAACTCTCAGAGCTAAAAGTGGAGCCATCAAAGAATGCAGGAGGAACCCTCCGCATCATTGCTGAGGCTGGCAGCTCGGGAGCAGACCAGACGTGATTTCCTACTGGAGTCCCATAATGGAAATTTGGCAGCTCAGGTGCAGACCAGCCTTGATTTCCGACTGGAGCCGCCTCATGATGGATATTTGAAAGGTTAATGGAACTATTTCTTTGGGGACTGAGTGCAGGACTTGCATAAGGACTAGTAGGAGCACTTCTACTGGGAACATCAATCCTGAAACTGTTCCGCGATCTTTGCGGATGTCCTAATGCATCTCGACTCGCCCTGCTAGACGACCTTGTCTCAACCTGCTCTTCTTTCCTCTGCCTCTCCCGGGAATCAAATATACTGGTTTATTCGATTTAACAAAAACAAACTCATAATGGAAACACACAAGATAATTCAATAATCAACAAGACCTAACTTATTACACCATCCTCTAATTGACATGAATGAGATGAGACAAGAAGCATATAACCATCAAATACGGCATTTAACATTAGGAGTAGAGAGAGTACGAAGAACATTCCAGTTCGGGTACCTTCTAATCGGAGCGCTATTGGAGACCCCACCCCCAATCTTGTGAGCAGGGGCAGTTCTATCTCTATCTACATCGCGGTCGTCCCCGCCTCGACCACGCAACACCTTGGGCGACGGAAGAGGGCAATCCGCATCTCCACATCCAGAATTCGAATTCGAAATCCCTTCTCGACGCTGAAACGTAGGGGAAAGCTCCGGGAGCGGCAACGGCACGGCACGATCCTCAGAGGTACTAGGCGATTTGGAGAAGGAGACGGGCTCGGGCGTAGTATCGGACCATTTAGGCAAAGAAGCAGCGGCGCGATCATGTCCGCTTAGGTTTCGAAGCTTCCTTTGGCGCGAATACTTAGAGGCGCCAAAACGCCAAGCAATTCTCCAATAATTATTGTCGTCGGAGCGAGTGGAGGCAGTCCTTCTGGTGGGAGAATCGCCACCGGTGGCGGTGCCCGGAATCCTGACTATGGAAGAAGGGGTAAAGGAGATGTTAGGCAACCAACGCATGGTGAACAATGAATCATTGTAATTCTATCATGGAATGGAAGAGGAAGAAGAAGAAGATTGAAGGAAAGAGAGAGTGACGTGAGTTAAAGAACGCGGTTTGCAACGTCCCCCCATTCCAAACGGTAAGGAATTCCCCATTTGAGAGGTCAATAATTCGCCATTTCTGTAACGAAGTCAAAACTCCCAACAGGCTTACACTTCCAGACAAAGAAAAGATTAAAGAACCCCATAATCCTCCATGTTCGCCTATTTTACAGCTAAATATTCCTTAATCTCTCTGTACTATATTATCTTCTTCCTTTCTTTTTTTTTCTTTCCCTCTCCTAGTTTTGTAGCTGTCAGTCCCAACGTCTTCAACTTCAATCTCCTTCCAACCCATTTTCTTTTCTTTGTTCTGTTTTTTTCTTCCATCATAATATACCTAACCCATTATTACTCATGAATTTTAAAATAGTATTGAAATACCTTAACGTAATGTGAACAAGAAATATGCGGAATTAAATTAATTTGGTTGACCTATTTGAATTTGAAATAATCTATTGCCTCGCCGGCACATGATTGCTTTCATCTCCCAAGTTAATCAACTCCTCCTCCCTAACATCCTACAAACGCACTCAATCTATCACTTTTTTTTTTTTTCATTATTATTATTAAAATCAAATCGGATATAATTTAATTTCCTTTGTTGTTTACTACAATAGGTTCACTGAATTCATCTCATCTGTCATTTCCTAATATAAACATATAGTTTACTACCTTATCACAATATTTTATTTTATGTTCATCATCTTTCTTATACTTATTTTAATCAAATATAATCTTAAACAAAAGTATGTTTCAATAATGTGTTATAAAATTTCTAAACGCAACAATACATTAGGTTAATTTGGTAGGGCCTCTTCTCTCTCTCTCTCTCTCTCTCTCTCTATATATATATATATATATATTATTTCTTGGAAGTCAAACCTTAAAGTTAGCCAACAATTTCCGAAAATAATACTAAAACTCAACTAATTTTATTATTTCGTAATTAGTATGAAGAATTAGGGATAGGTCATAATCTTAAGATTTAGATTTCATGTTATCCAAATCATTTATTTATTTACTTATTTTGAACAAGTCTACTCTTTTGGTCTACGGACTTTAATTTAATTATATATATATACATATATATATATAGAGAGAGAGAGAGAGAGATGGTGGTGGTGTTTGAGAAGCTAGGGTGTGGTGTTGCAGCCTGCCTTTAAGAAGAAAGACAAACCATTTTGACAAACTAGGTTCTGCCTCCGTCAACGACTGCAACTTCCCAACAAAGCTTTGCCCGGATGCTCCCCTGTATTACAGATTGCAGAAGCCTGTGAGCAATCACAAGAACTTGTTTTCTGCTACAACAAAGAAATGAATTAGATGGCGCTGGCATTGCAACATCCAAAACGCCCACCATATTTTGCCTACCTTCTCCACCAAACGCATGAACCCTAACTCGATCAATCATTTGGGGTGACTTTGACATCGGCATGTTAGTTGGAGAGTAGAATGAATCATTTTTTATAAATGGTATTAGAGTTTTAAAACGGTAAGATTGACAACCATATGTAATTAGTTGAGACGGACAATATCTACCATACTATCGGTCGACTTTGACTCTTACAAATAGTATTAGAGTCAAACATCATGTTTTCTATTTCATTAGATATTATATATTTTCTATATTCTAGAATATAGAAAATATATAATAAAATCAAAAATCAATAAAAACTTTTTTGTTTATTGGGGCGATGGGGATTCGTATTTTTTCCATTCCGAAAATGATAAAACAAAGATATGAAAAAGAAAGGTCAACCCGTGTATTTCTTTTAATTCTTTGAACAAGAAAAAAAAATACCATTTTCAATTTTATAATTGAGTAAATTAAAGATTTCTTATTTTTTTTTTACATACCCAAAAAAAAGAATTTCACATTCATCCGCTCAAAATATTAAAAAATTCCAATAATTGCTTTGATAAAAAAAATGTTTATTTTTATTTGAATCTATATTTTTTAGTGATAATTTTTTTTGCGGAGACACAAAATCCAAAAGAGTGGATTATCATATCCTATTTTAGAGAGGACAACCAGCTAAAATGAATATTTATTAATGTAGTTTCATAGTATTAAGGTATGAATTAAATTAATCATAATTGTCTAATTATATTTGTCATACTTCTAATTACAAATTTAGTTAAAATGAGATTTATTTATAGAAAAATGGCAGACTAAATAATTATTAAAATTAATTTGTTTCGTGACCATTTAATTTACCCAGTGTTATTTATTTATTATTATTATTATTATTATTTTCTAATAATTTGTTTTAAATTAACAAATAGTAAAAACAAAATACAAAATTACAGCTCATTAACTAAAAAAAAGCTAACTGTTAGTGTATATAATGGACAAATTATTTATAATATTTCATAAGCACATCAAATAAGAATAAGAATATAAGAATATGGTTGTTCGATCTTATTGTCACGTTCAAAGAGTATAATAGAAAGAATAAAATTATTCTAATAACAACAAATGGATTTAAAGCATAATATTCTTAAGAAATTAGCGTGTAGGTCCATGGAATAAGAAGACAATAAACGAATTAGGTTCTCCGTGTAAAGATTTCAATTTTGAAGCAGATATTACACTTTTAATCCTAAATTCAGGCAAAGAATCAACTAATAAGTTCATCAAAGTTTTTATGACCACAGTTGAGCTAAGGTTGGAGAAGGCACCAACACGATCATTCTTGACTAAATTTAATATCTGGTGTGTAATAAGATGCACCAAGGTGCAGTTAGAAAGACTACTCAAGAGTTTATGGCCTTGGCAGATGATTAATGTAATTAAATTTATCTATACTCTTGTTTGAGCATTTTGTTATCATTAACATCAACTATGATCTTATCTTTGAGTTGGTTGACTTATATTTGAATAAGATTATGGATTAGTATAAAGAATAAAACTAATTTTCATTCTAATCCTTCTCTCATTCAATCATTATTGTTTTGGGTTTTGACATGTGGTTGTGGATGGAAAATGTGTCTAATACCAACAGGTTAAATAACAACAAACTAGACTTCATCTCGGCATGGTCGAGAATTTAAAGTGAAAACAACATCAATACGTTAAATAACAACATATGCGGCATGGTTGAGAATCCAAAATGATGCCCTTTCATAAATACACGCAATCCTCGCCTAAAGTTATGCTGATATTGTGGTTTCGGTTACTAAATATACTACTCTACATTGCAGTAACAAACATTAATGAAAAGTGCACGAGAGTTGTCATGCTTATTCGTTGTGAGTTATGATCACTTCAATACAACGCTAACTTAAATATTGGAAGATATTTGACAAAGCTAACACACGATATTAGTCCAATGGAATTCAGGCAGAAATGATTTCTTGAAGTGCTTTAACTAGCTTCCATTGATGCTAAAGAAAAAAGAAAAGAGAAGAAGTTAAGTCTTTTTGTTTCTCCATTGCTTTTATTTATGGGATGATGCTATATTCCATTAACCCACGTGCTTGGCAGGTGCTCCTCGACCACAAGGATGGTTGATAGCATGGTGAGAATCCACGTGAGAAGCAGCTTCTCTTATCACCACATCAATGGAGCAGAGAGCTTCACAGTCCCATTCCCCTTTATTTCTCTTCTTTTTAAAATCCCCAAATCTCTAAATATTATCTTAATTTCACAAATTGTAAATCATTTTCACAATGCTTCAAATAGCTATTTTGTTATTGAATAATACCGGTTGACGAGAGATATGAACCTTAGGCTCTTCCAACACGCAAAACGTTACTCTTTGACTCGAAGTTTTGATCTTTGTATTGAAAAAAAAGAAATGGGGATGTTTTTATCAAAAACCCATGAAAGTTAACAAAAATGTTAGTGAGAAAGTAATTGGATTGGAAGGTTAGTGGAGAAGATGGATTGATTGATTGAAAGGGTTAAAAGTGATTAATGTTGGATTAAGTTTAGTTGATGTTAATTGAGAAGTTATAGAACATGAATCAAATGGAGTATGAACCTCTACGAGAGAATTGCAGAGGAGGAAGTAGAAGAAGAAGAATGCATTGATCAGAGGGTATTCGCCGATCCCACCGACAAAGTTACAAAAACTTACCCTTCAAAAAGATCAGTTTTCAAAAGCAACATCCTCTTCATCCAACACTACTACTTACTTGTACACATTAATTAACAAACAAAACACAAACAACGTACAATATACCTTATTCTTCTGTGTCTACAAAATCAGAAATTTCAGATTCCCCATTTTGTATCCGTTTCTCTGCAAAACTTGTCGGAACTCAATACACCCTTTTTCTTCTTCAATCTCCAACTTTCTGAATCCTTCCCTTCCAACTATGCCCCTCCGATTTCGCATCTTCTTCCCCTTCCATACTCTCCCCTTCTGTTATGGACAGTGCTTTTCCAGACCCTCCGCCCTGGAGTGGTCCATCTGGAGATCCCGCATGTGTCGCACTTGTCTTTGAGTGGTGATCCCCCTGGTGTGCTTCCGCCATCCACCCCCCGCCTCCTGAACCTTCCGTCGGGCCCAACTTTCGAACGTGAAGCCTGTATTTCTGTTCAAAACGTTTCTCAGAATTAGAATTTCAGGATTTAAAAGGAACCCAGAAATTTGTTTTGCTTTTTTTTTTGTGTTAATCGTACTTGTAAATGGCTTTTCACTTCGTCGTTGGTGAGCCCGTCCACTTGCATCAGTTCCCTTATCTGTTTTGGTGTTGCCACTGGAAGATTGAAATTTAGATCACTAACTGATTCTTAGATTTAAAAGATTGTAATGGTTAAAAGTTAGTTTCGAACCTTGAGATCCGCCGAGTCGATGCAGTGCGTCGACGAAACGCCGGTGGAGCTCCGGCGACCAGCATCGTCTCTGTTTCCTGATGGTCTGTTGGTGTTGGGACAATTTTGCGTGCCCCGTGATTTGCGCCGCCGGCGAAGACAACCCAGAAACAGAAGCGCTGCTTCCTCGGGCGGTGCCGTTCTTGAGGGTCAAATTAGCCGAAAAGGGATCGGAGATTGGGGTCATTAGAGTAAGTTTTGGGACTTCTGAGAACGCCACATCTTTTGTTGCTCCTTTTACAAAATTGTTTTGATCTTTGAACAACTCGAATGCTCTTCGTCTTTTTGCACAATCCCAATGTTCGATTGGGGTCTGCGGCACAGACCGATCGTCTTCATCCCCATTCTGTAAGTAAAAGCAATTTAAATGTAATCCCGAAAAAACCCCCACAACTCAAAAGGAGGAATAATTAATTAAATAAATCTCTGTAAAAGTTAAATACCAAGTTCATATTCGATTTTGGATTTGGAATATC